AGGGAGAAAGAAAAGTAAGGGAAGAAAATAGAAGGAAGAAAAAAAGAAAAAAAAAAGAAAGAAGGACAGAAAGGAACAGAAGAAGAAAGAAAGTGAGGGAGAAAGGAAGGACGGACGGACGGACAACAGTTTCTTCAAGTCAGGTCATATTAGTGTGATACCCTGACACTTTTCATAAGGACATAGCAAGACAGTATTTGGCTCCAGGGATCCCCCCTCTCCAACTGTCTCTTTGCTATCACATGGAGCAATATCTGTCATCCGCTATAATACCTTCATTTTGTGTGAAGTAAGAGGCAAAGCAATATAATATTTTACTCCTGCTCTTTCCCTCTATGGCAGTGTTCTGTCAACATCTGATTTGCTACTAGCAAACAGTGTAAGAAATCGCATTAATCATGTAAGTGCAGGTATGGAAGAAGAATATCATGTCTGCCTGCCGAGCACAGCTAAAGTTCCTGAGGGCATTAGCTATCATTAAACGCAAGTACTGAAGCCTACATCTAGCTGAAATATTATTTTTTTAAATAAAACTCAATTTGTATAAATATTATTCCTTTATTTTGGTATTAATATTTTGGTATAGACATAGTCAGTTGCAAAAAAAAGCACAAAATGTTAAAAAAAAAAAAAAAACTCAGCACAAATGAAGCAATCTTTTTTACTACCTAGGGACTGCAATCCCAATTAGAACCAACTGGTAAATAAGTGTGACTGTTATGACTGCTAAGCACCCTGAAATATCTAAAATTTGCATATAAATATTCCATTGCCAAACAATGGACTAAACCAGGCAAATACACATGAATAGGAAGACTATAACATTACAGATATGTAAGGGAGACAAGGACGGGAACGAACAGGCATCGGCACACCGATGACGTCACTTGTAAGTTTTCGATGAGCCAGCACAAGCACACTGAGAGTCCCCACCTACAGACCGACTCTCTCTGATGAGTTTTACGCTTCCATGCTTTTCTATGAAGAACACAATAGAAATGTTGTTAAAAAAATACCCACATGTCAAGCCACATACACATACCACCCCTCTGTGATGCGTTTCACCCTTACAGTCTTAGTCGCAGAGGTAAGCCTGTGGATGTGAAATGTGGCAGGCAGGGACAGTCTGTAGGTAGGGCTGTAAAATGATCAAATCATGCAAATCAACACAATAATAGTCCTGAAAAGGTGCTCATTAATTCCTAGTGCCAATGGAATCACTCTGTGGCTGTGAAATTGGGAGAAAGACACCTCACAGGGAACACAGAGAGATACTCATAGTGTAGTATATTACTTCAATTTATTTCAAAAAACCAAGTAAAACATATAATCAGGTGGCAAGTGAAAGTGACCCTCTTAAAGGACGTCCTTGCTCTACCTCAGAAGAAGTGCGTGCGCACGAAACGCGTCAGTGGGGGCTGTGGACATTGTTGACACTACGCCGCCGATGCCATGTGGAGGCCCGGCGGCCACCTATAATTTTAAGAGGGTCAGTGGTTCTCTGTGAGGGGTCTTTCTCCCAATTTCACAGCTACAGAGTGATTTCAATCCCAGCCCTGGTTCCACTGAAGAGGAATATCCTATCCTGGGAGCTTCCTGACCTGCAGGATTTCGTTTTCCCACAAGAGGGCGTTATCGTCATCCATTTCAGCACATATCCATTTTCTGACCAGAGGGGAGAGAGGGGAATCTCCAGGATTTCTTACACACATGCATATTTTAAATGCGCTTCTGGTTAGTTTGCATTCTTTCCATTGGCACTAGGAATTAATGAGCACCTTTTCAGGACTATTATTGTGTTGATTTGCATGATTTGATCATTTTACAGCGCTGCATTTTTATATGTATATGTTTTACTGAGGATTTTTATATGCGTTTATCCTGGATGTTCAGCTGCTGTTTCTTTGAGAGCGCTCACTGTGTGTCTTTTACCTATACAGTCTGTAGGTAGGAACTCTCATTGTGCTTGCACTGGCTATATAACGACTTCCTGCAGATGATGACATTGATTTTCTGCTGCCTGTTTGTTTCAATATGGAATACAGAGCACCAATGGGCTCCATATGGCTGGCATCCCATGTGCTTACAGCGGAGAACAAAGAGGATTTGTGGTGTTGGGAGAAGCACCTCATATTTGCACTTCTACTAACAGCATTATCCCAGTATAGGCTGCCTCACAACGAAATGCAAATTTCAAGATTCCATTTTTCCTGTAAAAATATAAAGGGAGTGGTTGTAAACCTTCACATATTCCCAGTGAAGTGACTGGCACCGGTGATACACAGGGATGAAACAAATCCTCCTACGTAAGTTGTACCTGTTTATCTCCATCATATAGAAGCATGGTACTAAAACCCATAGGGAGTGCTTCACCTGTGCCAAGACCACAACCGGACATGCTGTTGAAACACACATCCAAACAGAGAAAGGTCGGCACCCAAGTATTCAATGCTAATAAAATCTTCTTTATTGCAAACCCATTAGGGACAAAAAGAATCCAATACACAAAAGACAAGTTTCTGCCCTTACGGGCCTTAGCCGTGACTCTATCTGTTTGTCTGCATCCATCTGTCCTCTACATTAGTTCAAAGTGCAGAATTTATACAGGTTCACCAAGCTTCCAGAAAGTAGGGGGTTGAGAGCTGAAGATACACACTGCAGAACAAAGGTCTCCAAACTTTCTAAGCAAAGGGCCAGTTTACTGTCCTTTAGACTTTACAAGGTCCGGACTGTAACCAGTGAGAGTAGAAAATGCCCTGGCATCGATGGGCATAAACAATGCCCCATTATTTGTTTGAATGGAAGGAATTCCCATTGTTGGTATCAATGGGAAGAATAGTGTCCCATCAATGGTTTCAGTGTGAGGAATAGTGCCCCCTCAAGGATGTCAGTTGGTGGAATAATGTCCCAAGGGCCAGAAATAGGAAACCAAGGGCCACAATCAGCCCCCAGGCCATAGCTTGGAGACCACTGCTGCAGAGTTTAGTGAGGGGGAGTTCTGAGAGTTGATTAAAAGGATAGGCACATGGCACACAGGAACAGAACTGAAGCTGTTAGCCACAGGCTATGTGCTGGAACTCCCTCCCCTGTTTATTCTTTGGGTGTCATGAAGTAAGAAGTGAGAGAGCAGAAGAACGAGGCAGCAGACAGAAATTACACTTCGTGCTCTGGATTGAGACAAGTACACACTCCAGAGGGATATGCTTTGTTCATATTTTATGCCTGAGGTTTACAGCCACTTTAAAAGCAACATTTTTTAATTAAAATAAAAAAAGATGTTAAATGTACCTGTTCTGCGCTGAAATTGTACAGAATTGTTCCTCTTCATTGGCGGCCCCCACAGGTGCCGTCTGCTCCTTCCTGCGCGGGTGTCCCCATAACAAACCACATGCTCCATACACATGGATACACAGTGTGGATCATTTAGCGGCAGGAGCCTGTGGCTCCTGTGAGACTAGGAAGTGGGGACAGTGGCACTGCAGCCGGGACAGCGGTGAATCAAGAGAGGAGACAGGTAAATGTGGAGAGGTGGCGGAGGGAAGGCGGAAAAAGTAGTGGCATGTTTTTACCTTAAAGCCGGGAATGCATTATAACCTATACTTATGCACTTTATGTTACTTTATGTAAATTTGAATTACCTATACTGTAAATACCTTTAAACGTGTATGAGGCTTAACATGTGGGTATTTGTAACACATTTTCCATTGTCTTAGTTAATAAACGTTAAACAAATTTTCTACCAAGGCTCTAATATCACTTTTTACACTTCTGGAAGGAACTCACTAATTGCCTGTTTTAACTGTATTAAAATTATCATTTTGCAAATTTGCTTCCATGCCCCCTCCTACCCTGAATGTTCCTGTAAGATGTTAGCCAAAGATGCCTAGCCCACAGATCATATATTTACATATGAAATAGTGATAGTTCTTTAATTGGATTTTCTGAACTCTAGCTTGAACCTCTTGATAATATAATGATGAAGATCTTAATGCATGTAACACTTTAAATATTATCACTTATTCTGTTTGTTTTAATCTGCACAATAATGTATCTTTTCAGCAAATGCATTATTCTGTTTTTTTAACCTGAGACTTTTGCTGGAATAAAACTCAAAATCTTCATACGGTAATGTGTAACCTTACAGTAACATCGAGTGAATTTAGCAAATAAATCTGAATTCCAGAAAGTTGAATAAAAGCACAAAATACAGCTATGCATGCAAGAAAAAACGTTTAAGGCAGGTGTAAAGAAAGGCTGTACAGTAAGAATGCTTTCAAAAATATAGATTGTACCGGTAATTGTTTATTTTTATCAATTTACAAATTACAAAGTGAATGAACAGAAGAAAAATCTAATCAAATCAATATTTGGAGTGACTACCCTTTGGATTCAAAACAGCATCAATTCTTACATGTGTACACTTTTTACACTTGCACAAAGTCAGGAATTATGTAGGATTAGTGTCAGGGCTATGATTAACCAATTATTCCGAGCAGCCGCTAATGATCATCAATTTCATCTGTAGACTTAAACACAGTCATTAACTGAACCAGAAACAGCTGTGTAGGAGGCCTAAAACGGAGGAACAGACAAACTCTGCTACCAAGGTGAGGTTGCAAAGTAACAAGACACACGTTAGTTATATTGCATCAGTAAGGTCCCTCCCAGACAAAGATTTCAAATCAGACTGGGGTTTCAAGATGTGACGCTCAAGCTGATTTGAAGAAGCACAAAGAAACGGGCAACATTGAGGACCATAGACGCAATGGTCGGACAAGGAAACTTAATGCAGCAGATGAAAGATACATTTATTTATTTCAGGTACTTATATAGCGCCATCAATTTACGCAGCCCTTTTACATATATATTGTATTCACATCAGTCCCTAACCCTCAAGGGGTGTACAATCTCCCCAGTCCCCAGAGGAAACCCACACAGGCACAGGGAGAACATGCAAACTCCAGGCAGGTGATGTTGTGGTTGGGATTTGAACCAACGACCAGGGGCGGACTGACAATTCATGGGGCCCCCGGGCAATAGGGGATCATGGGGCCCCTGTGTCCTTGCCCAAACTCAAAATAGCCTATGGAAAAGGTACCAGGGGCATCTAATGGGGCCCCCCCCCTACTGAGTGCCCGAGTTTCCAAATGGTCAGTCTGCCCCTGCCAACGACCCTAGTACTGCCAGGCAGAAGTGCTAACCATTTAGCCACTGTGCTGCCCAGATACATCATGCTTACTTCCCTTCAACATCGTAAGATGTCCATCAGTGCCATTAGCACTGAACTGGCAAAAACTGGTGGAACCCAGGTACACCCATCTACTGTCTGGAGAAGTCTGGCCATAAGTGGTCTTCATGGAACAATTGAGGCCACAAAGCCATACCTCTGACATGGAAAAAAGGCTAAGTGACTCAACTATGCATGAAAACAGCAACAGAAAAATAGCAGCAGGTGCTCTGGACTGATGAGTCAAAATTTGAAATATTTGGCTGTAGCAGGAAGCAGTTTGTTTGCAAAGGGCTGGAAAGCAGAACAATAATGAGTGTCTGCAGGCAACAGTGAAGTATGGTGGAGGTTCCTTGCAAATTTGGGACTGCATTTCTGCAAATTGAGTTGGAGATCTGGTCAGGATCAATGGTGTCCTCAATGTTGAGAAATACAGGCAGATACTTATCCATCATGCCATACCATCATGGAGGTGTGAGCTTGGCCCCAAATTTATTCTGCAGCAGGACAATGACCCCAAACTCAATATCTTCAGCATAAAAAAGAACAAGGAGTCTTGGAAGTGATGGTTTGGCCCCCACAGAGCCCTGATCTCAACATCTGTCTGTCTGGGTTTACATGAAGAGACAGAAGGATACAAGACAGTCTACATCCACAGAAGATCTGTGGTTAGTTCTCCAAGATGTGTGGAACAACCTACCTGCTGAGTTCCTTCAAAAATTGTGTGCCTAGAAGAACTGATGTTGTTTTGAAGGCAAAGTATGATCACACCAAATATTGATTTAATTTGGCTTTCTCTTCTGTTCATTTACTTTCTATTTAGTTATTTGATAAAATTAAACTATTAACGCTTCTATTTCTTTTTCACACCTTTTGCACTGTAGTGTAGTGTAAGGTGTTGTATGAATCCCCATGAATTTAATCCCGTTAATATCAGTTGGGCTGCAGCGGCTGCATGGACACAGTTGTTACTTCCAATTTGACCGGCCATATGTCTATAGGTATGTGTCCCCGAACGCACAATGTCTGTGTTCGGGGACACGTGCCTACACTGACACGAAGATGTCAAATTGGGAGTAGTGGCTGTGTCTGTGCAGTCACTGCATCCCAATAGACAGGAATGGGATTACCTTCATGTGGATGCACACAGCACCTGTGCAGGCCAAACAAGGCCCTCTCATGTGTGAATGAGGCCTAATACTGCATATTTTTAAAGGGGATATTTCAGATACCATAACATACTGTTACAGTTTTCTGTAAAAAAAATATAATTTTATTATAGATATTAAATTACAGACATACTGTATATATTACTAATCTAAACTATGCAAAATTCCAGAACAAACCCCACTGTTCATGTGTTAAACATCACTTTAACTTATATACAGTACTCATCCTGCTATTTGTATATGAATGTACAGTGTTTCAACTGGAAAACAGCATGACGGAGAACCAAATGAGCCAAGACTGTACGCATTTTATTAAGGCATACGTCAACCTTTTCAGGAATGCACTAGGGGGGTGGTCGCTTTCTAAAATTTATATAACAGATAATAAATGACTATCCAATTTAAACTTACAGAGATACTAAAATTTGCCTTATAAAACAATAGGCATGCCAGGATGGGGGGACCATAATGAGGGATTCCATGAGAGGCACTCATATCTTAATAATTTCTAGAATGTACCAAAGTATCAAAAGGATATTACTGCATGCAGCTACTGTTACATATGAGCACATGTTGCAAACAAATATGCCAACTTACCCCCAGACAAAAATTGTTTTGTGTTGAATATGTGCTATATCAATGATAACAAGGTTAGTGAAAAAGTGGAAAGAGCAGGGGGGCTCCATTAGTCCCTCCCAGGGGCAGACTGACCATTTGGAAACTCGGGCACTGCCTGAGGGCCCGGGGTCAGTAGGGGGCCCCATGAGATGCCCTTGGTACCTTTTTCATAGGCTTTTTTGAGTTTGGGCAAGGACACAGTGGCCCCATGATCCCCTATTGCCCGGGGGCCCCATGAGTTGTCAGTCTGCCCCTGACTGGTACCTTTTTCATAGGCTTTTTTGAGTTTGGGCAAGAACACCGGGGCCCCTTGATCCCCTATTGCCCGGGGGCCCCATGAGTTGTCAGTCCGCCCCTGCCTGGTACCTTTTTCATAGGCTTTTTTGAGTTTGGGCAAGGACACAGGGGCCCCATGATCCCCTATTGCCCGGGGGCCCCATGAGTTGTCAGTCTGCCCCTGGTCCCTCCCCACACGCTATTCCAACAAAACTCCCTTCCTGTTGTGCAGAGATCTACAAAAATATATAAATATAAGATAAAATACTGTGACTGAACATAATGGGGTTTATTTACTAAAACTGGGGAGTGCAAAATCTGGTGCAGTTGTACATGGTAACCAATCAGGGTCCAACTTCAGCTTCAATATTCTTTAGCAAGAAACATACATTCCACATTAATAATTATGCTACCAAAATTAGTGTTTGTTGTAAATTGCCTCCTGCATTGTTCCAGTTTCTTTTTTTTGGAGGCTGCCATTTTGTTGAATTCCAGACTCCCTGAGCAGAAATAAATCTTTAGGCCTCATGTCCACTGCTGCTCCTAAATGTGAGTTTAGGAGCTTTTGGGTTTTTTTGCCAAAGCCCCTGAACTCAACTCAATACAATCCTAAGTGTCCATGCATACATAGGCTTTTATCAGAGTTTAGCAGCAGCAGAGTTTAGGGGCAGTTAAATGTCCCTCTCCTGAACACATACAAATCACATTCAGAAGAGGAAGACTTTGTCCAAAAAATTCCAAACACGGCAAAAATGAGAGAGAGAGGCTTGACTGCTTTAACCATACAGCAGAAGCAGGCTTTGCTCCAATTTGGGAATGAGCCATGGTTTGTGGTATTAGGGTATTTGTGTGCAACGGCTCAGTGAGGCTGACGCCATTATGGATGAATTGTTACATGCCGACTCTTGTTTTATGGATATGCGCATTATTCTCCTCTGAAATGTGAGTGTATGACATTTTAATCAATAAATGGTCTTAAGCTTTTTTTACACTACGGAGTGTGCTTGATTTACATGAGTAATGGAATGTTAAACATTGCGGCCATCTGTGAATACGGATATCTCTGATCCATAAAGGAGTGCCCATTGTGGAGATTTGGGGTCCACACATAACACCAAAAAAAGAATGTTATGACCACCCCGGAAAAAGAGGGGTCATATGGAGTCAGTAAGCGAGCATTCCATCTGTCACTTTGGGTGAAGGTGCTTACGGGTTACATCACTGAGTTTTTGGGATCCTAGATGGATTGCACTTCAAATTTCTGTCACATCACTTATCACTTTGGATTTGGACCTTTTTCTTTATAATTTTTTATTTCCTTATAATTTTTTATTTCCTTTTTTCTTAACTCTTTGTCTTTTATCTTTATACTGTATACACTCATATATATTGGGATATATTATTTTTGATAAGAATATGTGTAGTTCAGTCATAATTTACATCAAATTTTTTTTTGTATTTTGTATGTACTTATTATTGATTTAATATGGTTAGTCACACAGGTATTTTCAGGAAATTTTGGTAATGGTTTTGGGTTGAGCACAACACAACACAACACAACACTACAAATATTAATTTCAGTGGCAAGTACTCTGGCCAATGAAATGTATAAATGCCCAAGCGCTAAATGAGGCTAAACGCATATCTACATTTGCATACATTTTTGCTGTGTTTTTGCTGCCAGCAGAGCTAAAAACTATGACAGTAACAGTGTACATGTAGCCATAGGCTGCCAGCAGATCAACCTCTACAAATTCGGCACAGTGCCAAAAAATAGAGAGCAACTGAGCATGTGCAGACCAAGGTGAGACAGTGTATTACTGGATTTTAAAAAGTATAGACACTTACAGTATTTTTAATCTATTACATAGCTATACCTGGGACCAGCCTAAAGTAATCTAGCAAGAATTAATTTTTGGACCAAAGTTCCACTTTAAGCTTTGACAAAAAAAATGGAAGCTGATTGGCATCTATGTACAGCTGCACCAAATTTTGCACTCTTTAGTTTTAGCAAATCAACCCTAATATGTTCATGCAGTCCCAGGGCAATACATCCTCTGAAGGGTCCCCAAATTCCCCATCACCACTATTAAAATGTTCAGGTGGAAGTTTAAAACTTTTGCAGCTGTAACAGTCCTTGGGTCACCAGCAAGCCAACAAAAAAAGGGTCATCTTGGAAACGGCCTTCCATTATACTGTATGTCCCTCCAGTAATGTGGCCATTATTCCCCAGTGCCAACACTCTTTGCAGATATGAACATAATGTAGAAATATAAAGGAAGCCTTTTTACTGAACTATAAACCTGGCTAAATAAGACATACAACTCTACATTGTGCTGTTTTGGATTTTAGAACTGTACAGACTAGGACTTTTCAAATCCCACACCAATGAGTGAGCTAAATATCAAGAATACAAGTGGGAGAACATTTTAAACTAATCTACCTCTGACAGCTCTGCAATACATTGACCTAGCCAGCCTCCAATTTGTGTATATAGCCAGTTAGGAAATGTGATAATACGCCTCCAGTTTATCTAACATTCCTGATTTAAATGATGTTTTTGAATTCGGCAGAAATATATATCAGCTTTCTACAAATTCTTTCTATATGCCAGATTTTATGTCAACATAGCTACATCTATACACAGTTGTATTAGTTTTATGCATCAACATTTTCCTATGAAGGTTCTGCGTAGGATGACGTCTCTGTGTGTTATCACGATCCACCTGTATAAACCATTGCCTTGTAACAAATGACACTCTTTAATTATGCTGGATTGTGCAACTGATCCAATTTCTATGAGTGCTCAAGGATGTAGCAGATTGTGACATATGGAATGTTGCATATTAACTTGCCTGCCAATTCAATTATTAACCTCCTTTTGCCGAGGAGGAAGACTGGTGATAGGTTAGCCTCACACCCTTCCAGGTTGTGGTTTATGCATTTTTCAGGTGCATTTTGTA